GAGATGGGAGAGAATTGGACAAATAAAAGTAAAATTTGTGGGTTGAGATGAAGGCAGTTTAATAGGACAGAAAACAAAAAGGCAATAATAATAATAATAATAATAATAATAATAATAATAATTAGAGTTTGAATATACAGAACAAGTGATAGACAACGCCATTCCTGAGCAGCAGTCCCTGCCTTCCCCACCATTTATATACTGAGCATGATGCCATATGGTATGAAATATCCCTCTGGTCAGTGGAGGTCAGCTGTCATGGCTGTTCCCTCCCAGCTTCTTGTGTACTCCCAGCCTACCCACTGGTGAGGTGGTGTGAGAGGCACAAAAGTTCCCAACTTAGAGTAAACACTGCTTAGCAACAGCTGAAGCGTCATTGTGTTATGAGCATTATTCTCATTCTAAATCCAAACCCCAGCACTGTACCAGCTACTAGGAAGAAAATTAGCTCTATCCCAGGTAAAACCAGGACATAATAGTACTGGGGGTGGCCAACTGACTGATGCATTACTTTGAGATACATTAACTGAGAGCTATCAAAAGAAAAGGGAGAACTTCTGCTCTCGGGGTCTATGTCCGCCCCCAGCTTTTCCTTCAGACCTCAGCTTTGCTGTTAAATAGTTTCCTCTTGACTGGTAGCAAGGCTTAAAGTGTGAGTAAAGACAAGGCTGTAAGTAGCCCTCCACTGTTTTAAGTATTTCGCAATCATGCATCTTAGAAAGGCGGCCGTGGATGTGTGCTGGAATTCCATCACGGGGCTGAGAGCCCAACAAAATTCAGATATTCTAGTTTCCTTAGGTGTCTGGCATTTAAAATTTTGCTCCAAATCAGAATAGCAGAATTCTTTACCTAGAGAAAGCTCTGGAGAACATTAATTTCAGATCAATGAAAACATGTGATTCAGCTTTTCAAATTTGGTATTATTTCATAATATATAATATAAAAGGAAATATTTTGAAACCAAAACCCATTTTGAAGGAAGAAATTGAAACATGTAGCTTGGAAATGTCAAAATGAGATGTTCCCACACTGTTGGAACATCCCTCCACCACTTACTCTTTTTTAAAATGACATTTTCAGTGCAACCGACACAAGTTTGCAAAGCGTTTCGATTTTGACAGGGTTGCATTTTCCAGTGGAAAGCTGTTCTTTAAGAGGTTTTCCAACCAGCTCCACTAGGAACAGGTGTCAAAGGATTGCAGCAACCTTCCCTTTGCCAGATCCCTAAATTAAAAGCAGTATCCTGGAGAAGTGTCTGGGGTGTGCAAGGCAGGAGGGGTCAGAGGGTGCTCCGCCATGGAGCAGGTTGAGAACCTGATGCTTGAATCGCCTCTGGCCACCCAGGCGTCTTGTCTCCTGTGGAACTGCTATGCTTGTGGGCTGAACTGGCAGTAGCAACTGTGGAGGATTTTAGGGGGAAAAAAATAAAGCCTCTGTGTGTGGGCATGGCTACATGCTCAACACTGCAATTTCCCTCTTTACCATCTGAGTAAGAAGGAAGGATTACCCCAAGATTGGAGTAACGCCCAGTTTGGGATGGGGATCTTCAGCAAGACATGAATGTGGAGGTGGGATGTGCAGTAACACATGCCCTTAAATTCTCTCTGTGAGCTGATTTTAATCCGGTGATGTCCATTGGGTGTGATTTGCCTTTGCCATGGGGATGTGCCCCTCCATGTGGAAGAGAAGTTTAACCTGGTAGGTTCACCCTAAAAGCAAAAGAACCCGACTCTTTCAAAGAATTAAGTAGCCTTAGCCCTCTGAGAAGCCAGTACTTTCTGACACACATAGCCAAAGAGAAATCTGTTCTGATTTACTGCAGTGTTAAATAAAGTTCTTTTTATATACCACCAACCACTTCCGAATGACCAGACAGACCGACAAATATCAGAAACTCGAGCTGGGCACAAATGAGTTAGTCTTTTTTTCTTTTCCACTTTTCTCACAGGAATGCCTTTTGAAATAATCTCCTTCCTGTTAATTTAACGATTACCATCAGAAAGAGCCAGCGGCGGAAAAAATATAGGCAGTAATTATGATCTTGCAGGCTCACTGTGGGACTAGATGCATGGAAAACAATGGATTGTGAGAATGGGTCGGTGCTCCTTGGCAGATGTACTTCCCTGCATGGAGCCCTGAGATTTTGGGTGCCTCAGGCCTTGGGGGCCCAGTTCAAGAGACCTTCAAGAAGAATACACGCTGTCAGATGGCAGACACACCTTCGGTTGGGTACCCCTGAAAATACAGCCACCTGAAATCTTTAACACTCACTCATGAAGAGTCGGGTGCTTTTCTTCCTGAGAAATGAGGAATACAGCCTGTTCCTCCTCCATGGCTGAATGTGGTGGATGGACCAGTTGATTTCATTCAACACTATATCAAATGATAAATATTTATCATGATTCTGTATTAATATGTGTGAAGGCAAATACATATTTATGGCACTGCAGAGGCAGAAGCATGCAGAGCAAAGCCAGCTGGATATTACAGCCTTTAAGAATCAGCTGCTGGTTAAAGCCCAGCTTTTATGGATTTGCCCATTGCCCATGGCCTCTGGAGCCATTTCATCCCTCAGAGAAGAGGGATTCCCCAGTACTTCTGAGGGAAGTCGCGTAAGCCCCAGAATAACCCAAAGCAGGACTCAAGAATCGTGAGGAAAAGGGAAACGAACGACGGTAAAACTCCGGCGTTCCACAGGGAAAGGGTTCAGCCTTGAGGGTCGCCTCCAGGCGCTATCACAGACCGAGGCCACCAGCCGCCAGCCCTCGTAGTCCCCCGGGTGCACCAACGTGGGGGCCCCGGGACCGTTCGCCTTAGCACCGGCGGGCAGAGGCCGTGCCGTGCCGGGGCCTGCGACTGGGCAGCGCTGCCTCCGCGGCGAGGAGGCGCCGTCCGGTCCCGCGGCGCGGAGGAGGTGCTGCCGGCTGGCCACACCGACTGGAGGCCGCGCTCCCCGCTCGGTGGGGCGCCGGCACGACAGGGCTTATCGCTATTAGTCGCCCACGGCCCCACCGCCGGGATAGCGGGGGGCGGGCGGGCGGGCGGCGGCGCGAGGGCACGGCCCGGGCAGGACGGGGCGGTCGGGTCCCGCTCTCCGCCGCCGCCCGCCCCCGCGCTGTCCCCGCGTCCCTCCCCCGGAGCGAAGTTTAGCCGGTGCGGCCGCCCGTGTCCCCCGGCGCTGCCCGCGCGTGCGGGGCGCCTCCGCCGCTGCCAGGGCCGGGACAAAAGGCACACGGACACGTGATGGGAGACAGGCTTCATAAATGGGACCGGAGCGGGGCGGCAGGCGGGGGGGGGGGTACGAGGCGGCGGCGTGTGCCGGAGCCGCGCCGGGCGCCCCGTGGCTCCCGCGCTGCCTCCCCGCGCCGAGGCGGCGGCGGGCGGAGGCGGCGGAGGAGGGCCGGGGGCGGCGGCCTGGGGGGGGCGGGCGGCACATGGAGCGGCAGGGCGGCGGAGCGCGGCGCGCTGCCTGAGCAGGGCTAGCGAGGGCGGCGGTGGTCGGAGAGAAGGCGCGGAGGGGAGGCAGCCGCGGCGAGAAGTCTCCCACCTCCTCCTTCCCCTCGCCGGCACCGCCTCCTCGGCGCTCCCCAGTGCCGGGGTGCCCGGGCGGGGCGGCGCTCCCGCTCCCTGCCGGGGGTCGGCGCGGCCGGAGCAGGCGGGGGACGCGGCCGCTGCCGTGCGGAGGGTAAGGACGGCGCGGGGTGGGTGGGCGGGAGCAGGCGGCGGGTGCCCACCGTCCGGGGGCCAGGTAGCCGTCGTCCCCCTCAAAGTTTGTTGGCGGCGTGGGTAGTGGGGTGCCGGGGGTGACGCTGCCCGCGACACCGCCCGCCCCGACGGCGGAGCGGCCGGAGGAGAGGCGTCTGCCTGCGGGCGCATCCCTCCTGGGAGCCGCCGCCTCTCGCCTTGCGGAGGGGCCGGGGGAGCGCGGCTCTCAGCTGTGCCCCGGGCATGGCCCCGGGCAGCTGGGGAGAGTTGGCGGGTGCCTCGGGGCCGCTCGGGAGAAGCCGGTGGCCCGGAGAGCGCTGTTTGCGTTCGCGATCCCGGGCGGAGGACGGGGGGACCCCGCTGCCCCTCGAGGGGAGCCCGCGGTGGGCGGGGGGCGAGTGCCGCCGTGGTTAACGCGCGTCTATTCTGTGTGCGGGGCCGGCGGCCTCCCGGGTTCCCACAGGACCTCATCTGACATCGGGAGTTTCTCCTGTCGTCCTCACCCACCGGTGATGTACAGAGGGTAGCATTCACCCCGGTTTTCCTGTGCACTTCTCCTCCCAAAACTCTGCCGTGGAGGCTGGAACCGAAATAAAAGGCGGTTCGTGATTTTTGTGCGCAGTGATGTTCTGTTAGAAGATGTCACTTTAGGCATCCGGCATCTTCAGAATACCCCAGTAGGGTTTCTGGTTGGTTGGCTGGGTTTGTGTTTTGTTTTTTGTTGTGTTTTTTTTTTTTTTTGTCTGAAATTCGGAGGTCTGGGGGGAAAACATCCGAAAAAGAGTGCGCTTTTTAAACTTAACTCAGTGTTTGTCATGCGAAATCTTCAGCTGCTGAGAAATAATTAAGAGTAACCAGATGGGCTTATTTTAAATGGGCTTCTTTTTGTCTCAAAGACGTCTGCAAATCTCCATTGAGAGCACCCCTGGATGAGGTACGTACCAAGCCTTTGGTAGGAGAGAGCTCTTGACTGCGTTTTCAGTCTGATTAAGTAAAATGGTGTCAGAAGATGAAGTCCATAGTTTTCTTCTTTCTCTAAAATTACCATCAGTGTTATATTCTGTATGGCAGCAACTCATCATATGAACAGTTTTGTTTGTTATGTTTTCTTCTTTCAGAAAATAAAGGGGCATATATAACATAAAGCCAGATATCAAAATACTCCCTTGAGTATCTACAAGTTTGGCTGTTTTTAAAATTACCCATAGTGTGGCTTCTTTTACCTGTTAAAGGTGTAGTAATGTTTTTTTTCTGGGTTGGTTGTTTTTTTTTTTCCCTTAGGTGTATCATCTTGTTTTCATTGTTATTGTTCACCTTTTCTTAAAGGAACATAGCATTTGCTGCTGGGGTGGCATTGCTGTTCATATGTACCAAAAATCATGCAAAGGATCAGAGGCTGATATTTAGTATGATATTTAGTAACAATATGTGCAACATTGCAAAAATTACTTGGGTGTGCTTAATGCTCTCGAATTACACCTCATACAAGCTGCCAGCACAGGTTTTCCCTTCTCAAGAAAGGAAGAAAAACGTGCGACTATAGTAGGAATATTTATTATGCAGGCAGAGTTTATTAAATCAGCCATAAAAGAAATGAACGCAACATCTTTAACAGTTTAGAAGATGAATGTGTAATTCCTGATTTGCTTGAGGTTAAAATTAGTTTTGTAGCAACCAGGAGCAGCTTTGCTTTATTATCTGTTGGTCTTTGGAATGAGAGGCAGAACCATTTGAATAAAAACATTTTAAAGCAGAATTGATAAAAGCAATTATTCTCTGACTGAGCCAGCAGGCATCTATTGCCAGGAGGAAAAAAGAAAAAGTTGGCTACACAGAGAAATCAGCTGTTTGCTGTGAATTTAAATCGTTGACCATTTGATAACACCTAAACCCACAGTAATCAAATCAAAATACCTATAAAACTCAAGGTGAAGGTGGAAGCAGGTTATAGTATGGTGAGGATGAGCTGGTGGGCGCCTTTGATCCTGGCTGTTGTTCTTTGGTGAATTATGTTAGCTCAGTGGCATAAAGGACCCCATTAAAGGCTTTCATGCTCTGCTGAAGTAATGGCAGGTCTGAGCCAATGCAAGCCTGCCTGTTCCTCTCTCCCTTCACAGGTTTCTGATTGGGCAGTGGAAGTTTAGAAATTAAATAACTTTTTTTTTTAGTAATTTCTGACTTTCAGCCTGTAGTGTGGCCATTCCAAAATGCTTGGAGACATCCCATTGGGAGTTTTGGTAATGAAGGTGTTACGTGCTCAAGTGAGAGCTGGGATGGCTTTCATTTATACTGAGTAGAGGCAAGTGAGGAAGTTAAGAGGCAAGGAAGAGCCCAAACCCAGATATTCATTTAGTATTGCCTAAGATTTTTACCAATACATCGCCATTCATGGTTCTGTAGGTCTTGTCCACTATCTTCCACTCACCTAGTTTCTCTGCTTCTGCATGTTCCAAGAAAAATTACTGTAACTTCTCCAATGCAAACTTTGTGACCTCTCTGGTCATGCAGTTGGCTACCTAGGCATCTGCAGAATTCATTTTTCTCGGTGGCCACTGATCTTCATTTCTCTGCAGATGTCTCTGTTGGCTTTATCTGAGCCTCCTGAAACAGTAAATGATTTTAGGCGTGTTTCACAAATATTTTAGGATGAGTGTTCTACAAAACCACTCATCGACCATTTAAGTGAGAATCTCGAGGTTTTTCTCTTCTCTAATAGCAAATTTGCACACTCTGATGCTGATTTAAAATATGTACTGTGGGCGACCCTAACACTGGGATTTGGCCAAGTTCAAAGCAGCTGTGCAGATGGACACAGAAGGCAGAGGGAAATAGACCCTTTTAATCATAACAAGGCTGCTCTTATTTTCCTATCTTTAGTGGAAATGCATGCCAGACCCTTGTACTTAAAAGCAAGCTGCAAATGTGCCAGAATAGACAGCAACGGCATTTGTTATTAATGCAAAGTTGAAAATGTGACAGCCCGTCTTCTCAGTAGTGCTCTTTATGTCTCCGTATCTAGACTGTACTGCTGCAAAAAGTGCACATCCGATCACTGTTGGTGGGGTGAGAATCCCCCCTCCCCAGAACTCAGGCTCTTTGAAAGTGCATGGCTCTGTTAATGATCGCTGAAACCAGCCACAACCTGTCCTTTTGAAATGGATATAATGACTTATAAATCAATTTCTCGTTAGAACTTCTTTTTTTTTTTTTTTCTTTTTCCCGAAGGTGCCATTGTTGCCCATGAAAAATGATTGGGTTTGCAACATAAGGTTGGAGCACATTTTATTCTGCCATTTGTGCCTCATGCAGGGGCATTATGGTGATGAACACCAAGCCCAGTTCTGCCTCTCTGCAGTAGAAACATCCTTATTTCATAAAGCTACCCACATCCAAATTACAGATAAAATCAGTACTTCACTATTCTGTGTGTTAGTATAACGTCACTCCTCATACTTTGGCTGAACTGTTTGTGAAACTGGATGTTTTAACACATTTCAGATGTTGTCTTGTTTGTGTAGATTGAGGCTAGATGGCATCAAATAATACCTCATCCTGTGTTAACCTGTTTTATGGCAGTTGTATATTCTCAGAAAAGGTGTGTTAACTCGCTACAAAGTACTGAGCAGGAGCAGTTTCACAAGGGATGCTGTTAGTTCCCTTTCAGCCCTGGAGGAGTCATTTTCATCTTAATGAATTTTAGGAAGCCTCTTAAAGTTTGTGCTTAGGGGCTTGGGGAGCTCCCACATTCCCATTGTGGTGACTATGTGAAATGTGCTCTTGGAAGTCACTGGGTTTAGCCAATTCTGCCTCTGTTTTAAGCAATGCAGTACCAGAGTCCAAACTATGCATGTACCTGGCAAATTAGGCAGCATAGGTTTGGAGTGTATATCTAAATACCTATATGTGTGTATACATGCGAAGTCTTTTTTACAGGTTCTCAGTGATAGATGTACTCAGTTTAGATTCCTGCTTTTCCCCAGGAACACTGTGTGTACAGGATATAAAAAAAGATACTCAGTGGTCATCTTGCCTATATTTTTTGTACTTACACTTCTAGCTAGTTTGCTTGTCCCCTGGCACTGGGAATTTGAATTTATGCATGACAAACTCTACTGCAGCATTTGTGAGATTTTACTTGTTCTTCTAGGCATGTGTATGGGTTTGTCTATGTCTGTAAGCTTATGCATAGAAAAGATACACATGCACTCACATAAAAAGTCATAATTCATTGCTCAGTATCTTTTAACTGTTTTTCTAAATCTGGTGTAATACTTTTTTGTTTGAGTGTCTGCCATTTGTTGCTCTGGCTACTCAGATATCAGATTCTGCTGTAATTCTTTCTCACTTCTCCTCTTCTCTCCCTCTTTCCTTTTATTTTGTAAAAAAAAGAGAAGTATCTGCATATTTCGAAGACATGCACCATTGCCAAGCAATCTGGTGTAGTGGCTTAATATGCTGGCAAATAATTTCACAAGTTGTTTGTGTGTGTGAAGGCAGTATATTTGAATATCATTATAATCTCTGAGCTTATTTAAATTTTATGAAAGGCCAGACAGCTCCAGAAATGAAAAAATGCTTTACATTTTTTAATTGGAATGCATATTTTTGTCCTTCGCTAATGCTGATGGCATGGGACATTGCATTTGCCAAAAGCCTTCCTCTTCTAGCTTATGAACATGGCCAGTACTTGGTGGCCTGATAACAGTTTTCGGGAGAAGCAGACTCGTAAGGACTGAGGTAGAAGGGATGTTGCTTTGCAGTGTGTTGTTGGCCTTCTGTGTACTAACTTTCTGTCATTGCCTGTAAGCACCTTTTTCCGTTCTGGTGTGTTTACCTGCCATATGGGTCACTGGCTGTATTTGAGCATTCTCTCTTCCTTTCCACTTCTGAGGTCTGTATGCTACTTTTGTGCTTAAGCAGTTTCATTTTTATTAATGTCCCTGGCCAGATTTGCTCAACTGATCTCACCTGAGTGTCCCCAGCTTGGTCCCATGTGTCAGCATGCACAGCACCGTCCTTTCCTCTGACCTCTCTGAGCCCTTTGCATTTTCCTTCACCGTTTGAATAAGATCAGAAATGGACTTTCAAAAGAGCACACTGGTGCCTGCAGAGCAGTGGGTCTGTTCTCTCTTTATGGTGAGATCTGAAAATCCCACTAGCTATATCCTTCAGATTACAGAGCTGTCTCTGAAGTTCGCGTAGCTTGGAAGACGAGGGAGGTTTTTCTCCTGTGAGTTTTCTCCTTCACCTGATCTGCTTTCCCCAAGCTGATCACAAAGGCAGTTCTCTCTCCTTAAAATCTGCATCCCTACCTCCCAGGGACTCCGTCTACTTGTGTCTCCCTCTCTTTCCTTGTTTGCTCCCATCTCACCTGGAGATGTGCTGTTCCCTGTATGAGGACAGTGGTTATTTCTCTTGCCAGTCCCCATCACACCAGTGACTTAACCAGCATTACCTTTGCTCTCAGCATCTCCTTGTTACCTCAGAAAGTCTTGGATTAAAACTTGTTATGACCATAGTTTATTGCAGAGGTTAGGATGCGGCAGACAATGCACTCTTTGCAGTGTACGAGCATTGTCCCTTGAGCCTAATGGTTTTGCTACCTTTCTGTCTCTAATCCTGACTCTTCTTAAAAAGTTCACTAATATTTTCTGCTGCACCAAATTCTTGATCTTTTCTGTTCTCCTCTGACCATTACATGGAAGCTGTTTTCTCTGTATATTTTTTTTTTCCTAATAAATGTATTTTTTCCCCCGTTTCCATTCTCTAGATGATACATTCTTCTGGGGACCTTTAGCATTTGGCATCCAGTGGAGCCTGGGTCTTTCATGTCCTGCTCTGCTCTTTCAAATGACTTCTCTCCCTTCAACTACACGTTGTGTGTTAAGCTGCTGTCTGTTCCAGGTACTTCCAGGAGACTGAGTGTTCAGACCCCATCTCTTTTGCACCCAGCTGGGCTTCTCTGTCTCCATTTAGTATTTATGTCAGTTCTGCTCAGCAGTAATAAGTGCTTGCACCTTTTGACATTAGAGAATGTCTAGAAAAGAGGCTGGAAATGAAGCAGTTTCTGTTGGAATATTGAAATCCAAGATAAATCCTTTTTTACTTTTGTGAAAAAGTTTGAGAGTTAAAAGTTTAATGAGTTCTCTTCATTTTTCTTTAAAATGTAAATACCAAAGCATTGAATCAAACTTTTCATACTACCTGCTTACTCAGCTTTATTGGGAAATAGGTCCCTAAACTGGAGCTGATTTTAAGCAAATACAAGCTCACTCTTGCTTTCCTCTGAGCCTTTCATACTTAAGAAAGCCTCTTCATTCTCCCTTCAAAGTCTGTCTTTAGATGAAATTAAGATATACAAAGTAATCTGTGAAAGACCTTAAAATCCCACGTTGTTTTAAGATAGCCATCTCCGCTTTCCCTCCTTTCTCACAAAAGCCAGGCAGACCAGGTAGCTGTAGTTTCCCATTAACGTGACCCTGACGCTCCCCTTGCTGGTTTGTGACTCCAGTACTTCATCTTGTCTCCGACTTGGTAGGAAATGTGTGCATAGGGGCTTGTATTTCACAAGCTGAGGGCTTTTGAGTAAATTCGGGAGCTTTGGCTGTTGTTCAGAGGCAGTGGGGCAGCTGTCCCTGCTTTTACCCCTGCGGTTGGGTGGCTTGCGAAAGACACATCCTTCATTTGCTTGATTCAGAGACAGGGCTTCAAACTAAGCCTCTCACTTGCTAGGTGTGCACCCTGCTTGCTGGAGTATTAGTTAGTGCCTTTATTTCTGGATGTTTAACTCCCGATCCAACATGGAACAGCTTGAGCAATTTAGAGGATGGAAGCAGAATGGAGAGGCTGCCAGAATGCTTGCCTGGCTCACGGGAGAGCAAAGATTGGGTCCTTCACCTGTGCCAAACAGAGCAGGAATTCAACTTCACCTTTGAACCTCTCTGATGTTAAACACACATATATGCCCTGCCTGTCCGGGAGGTAAGGCACAGCTCCTTTTGACCTGTGCCTGCAAGTCACCTGTGCTAAAACTGGTGCACACATCCACTTCCCCAACGAAAATCTGGGGGGGAGGAAATAATGATACTGCTTTTAAAAAACATTGTTGGCCGCTGATTAACTCTTTGTTCTGTTTTTGTCATCCAGATCTTCAGCTGCTGGATGCGGGGGGGTGTCATGCAGGGGTAATTTTGTCCCCAGTTTAGAACTGTCCAGCCCCTATCCTGCTAATGTGCAAATGGTATGTTAATTAACATAAATAACTGTGTAGCTGTGGTTTATTGCTAATTAGGGTTCAACTTCCCAAAGATACCATCATGATACATAAGAACAGCGTTTGGGTCAGTACTTGCATGCCCTAGTTTACCCCGCAGCTGGTAGTGCCTTGTAACTTGAAGATAGCATCCGTCATTTGCTTCTTTCCTAGTGTCTGTGCTCCTTCCCAATCCCTCACACAGAGAAAATTCCCACTGAAGTGAATGCAGGTTTTCCTGATTTAGGAGTAAACGGCATATTTGCCATTTATAGCCTAGGAGTACCACAGCGTTTGAGATGGAACAGTAAACCATCAGTAAATAGGATAGGGGTAACATTGCTTTCACATCATTGTCAACACATGTTTTTTCCTTGCTTGGTGTCATTGAGTCTGAAAGTGTCATTTCTCAGACTGTGCATTTCTTTATCCAAGGCTTAGAAACCTTGTTCTGTCCTCGAAGCAGTATTGTTCATTGCCATATGGGATAAGGTAATTATTAGCCAAATAAATTTCCATTTTATAGGACAGTTCTAATTCCTGGAGGCCAACAGTTATTATGGTAGCTCTCATTTCTCTCCAGCTTTTTCAGCTGACTATACACAAGTATAAATTACTGCTGTTTCTGCCATGGTAGTGCTTTGTGGACCCAGTTTGGTAGGAGTCCCAGTGTACTGGGCACCACATAAACTTGTCAGAAGCCCTCCTCTGAAGGACTTACAAACTTTATAATGTGTAAGCAAGGAGAAAGCATTTACGTATTTTTGTGCATTCAGAAACTTTCAATTATACTTATTTGTCCTTTAGCCTGCTCTTAATTAGCTGTGGGTATCATAGAAGAAATGTATAGGCATGGAGATCAAAATGTTTTCTGAAATAGAAGCTAGAAAGGTTTGATTGTGCATTTCCCCTCCTTGTTTTGATTCCTTTTCTTGCCACATAAACAGTTTTGCAGTTATCAGTAGCATCATTGTATTGCTCATAATTACTTTCTGAGGAAGAACACAAATATTCACTGTTTCTATTCAGGCTACTAAAATTGCTGTATCAATCATCCTGGGTTGAAAATTATAATAAATTCAGCCCTTTTTTTAGACACCGATAAAAACGTTCCAGCCTTCCCTCTCCTCCAGAACAGCAGGAGAAGATAGGTAATAGCATTTTAATGAAGTCACGTTCTTGTTCCCCGAGTGAACTGGTCCTGTGGACCAACAAGAAGTCCAGAGGAGGTACATTTGTCCCCTGGAGATGAGTTACCAGCCTTTTATGAATTACATATGTTATATTTTACTTAAGGGGTCTTTATAGTCTGGTAGCATTTGAGCTTCTTTTAAGGCTCTATGTAACCACACAGTGGAGAGCAGTAGTAAGACTTACCCATCAACTCGTCACTAATTGTTTCACTTTGAGGGCAAGCCCTTACAAAGGCGTGTCTTCAGCTGATGTTTAACACCTCGTATGATTGAACCCCGATAAAGCAGGCTGGGAAAAAAGGGCAAGAGGAAATTAAATCCAGGTCTCTGCAGACAGCTAAGCAGTGTGCTTGTAAAAGCCACTCCATCTAGTGGCAGTCACTTTGCACAGCTGGTCGGGCAGTGCCCATCAACCCATTGATGGGAGAAAAATCTAAACGTTCAGCTGTGTGTTTTCTGGTTTTGGTCTTCAGGATAAAAGAGGGTTGAAATTTTTATCTATTGTTTAACCCTTATCCATAATCATAATTCATTACTTAGTGTGTATTGCTGCATGCATTCATGGAAATACATCAGAAATTTTGTGTGCCAGCATTAGCACAGGCTCTTCCACATCTTTAATCAATGTTTCAGTTCTTTTTAACTGTTTTAAAATGAGTGAGGTAGTAGAGCTCCTTTAAGGAAGGGACAAAGCTGAGAGCTTTAGAGATTCAAAGGCTCTGTTGGAGGAGTGGATTCCGGCAGGGCAGGGGGGCTTTTCGTTTGCAGAGCAAAGAGTATCTCCCTCACTGTCGCCCTGCCCATGAAACGACCTTGCTGGGGCACGTGGCCATCGCTTCGGTCCCATCCAGAGAGGAGGGGTCTTCTACAGAAGCTGTGAGAAGCCACAGAGGCTTACAGTGTATTTAATGTAGAGATGGTCTTGGGTCTTGGGCAGTATGGGTTTGGTCTGCATTGAAGCCTGCTGCAAAGAACAGTGTGGCCATGTGTTGTGGGGTGTCCTGTTTCCTTGTCAGTGCTTGCTTGCCACTCTAGGTTCCAACAGAAGAGCTCAGAGCCAAAACTTGTGTGGCCCTGCCGTGTGCACCTGATCAAACAAAATGACCAAGAACCAATCCACTGCTTCTGCTGCTGGCTCTTCAGTCAATGTCAAATTGTGCAACACCTGAGACTGGGACCCTCCTGATAACCACAGTGCCAAAGGTCTAGTCTTGGTTTTACTAGACAGCCATGGAAAACTTTGCTGATTGCTTCAGTGTCCACAAAGTTTCAGTATTGTAGCTTATACTGGGACAAGATACTGTCTAAATTAAAATAAACCAAATTCCAGCAAAGTGCAGTTCCAGATCCGGCAAATGGCTGTTTTACTGCAACTTTAATAAAAATCAACTGCTACTTGAATAGGTGCACGCACACATACTGCTAGATATTTCCAATTATGATATTCCCAGCAGCAAACAAAAACAAAATTAATGTCAGCTGCATCCCCCAAAGCCTAAGCTACACCACTAATGAACTCCCAAGTACTCTCAAAGAAAACTCTCTTTGCAGAGACAATAAGGTGGAAATTACTGTAATAATCTCAATGTAAAAATACAGAGGGAAAAAAAAATCATTGACATTCAGAGTAAGGCTTGCCTCTCCTGATCCCATTAACCATGTTGTTAGCACAGCATATGCATGCATAGCGATATTGTCACATAACTCACTGCCACCTTCAAAAGAGCACACAGGAATTCGTGTTCTTTCATTTGTATTTCAAACAAAAGTAGGGGTTGCACGGCAGTTTGCACCTTATTCTGAGGAAGTCTGTACTTAACATGACTCCAGCAGGGACCAGCTACTTCAGAACAATTTGTTTGTCTGTCTAGCAGAAGTGCTCAGTTGCATACAATTTTTGAAGCTTTACTCAAACATAATCTTCTCGACATGGGGCTGTGTCTTGAATCATTAAAACGGTTGTCTGTCTTCTGTCAGGAGTAGGCTGGAATAACAGAGAGTGCGACAGCCATCTTTATATGTTTATAGGACTACTTGATCTATTTAATAACTTTTTTTGATTGTTTTCAAATGAGTAATGTGTTTTTCACTTCTGAATCTGAACTGGTGTTAATAATGGCAAGCTTAAAGTTGCCAGACTTCACCCAAAGCAGATTTGTCAGTTGTCAGCAGGGTCATTTTTGCAACACATAACATCTGCAAATTCTACTAGGAACAGATGTGAAGTACCTTCTGGAAGAAGAGTACCTCGCGTATTAGATGATGGCTGCTCATTTTTAATGTGTGCTTCAGTGACATTTCCCTCCCTCACTGCTCACACTCTCAGAATTAAATTTCTTAGTATTGTCTGTCTAATAATGAAGTTGTTATTTGCTGAGCAAATTATGTCAGCAAAAGCTGACACAACCAGTATGTGTTGTGTGTTGGACCATCCTGGTAAGGTTTACTTATACTCATCCTTGTTTGCAGCACTGCAGTTGCATTATCTTCTGGAGATCTAGGTTCGTATCTTCCTTTTAACACTTGAATGTCCAGGCCTGCTGAATCAAATGCAAAACTTTAAAGTACTGTGGAAAAAGTCTTAAGTGTTCAGATGCTATGTTTAAGTGCCGTAGAAATATTTCAGCAGACAAATGATCTCTGCTTCTTTTGGAAATGCTCAGTATTTCTTCCGGTGTTAAGTACTGATATTGTTGTAGAGAGGAACCCTTTTCTCTTTCTTTTATTTTTCATGGGAAAACTCAGCTGAGGTACCTGTTGTGCACTTCCCATCTTAGGAGTTGAGGTGATCAATGCGCTGGGGTTCGGCAGATAATCTCTCATGACCTTTCTGGTCGTTTATTGTCAGTTGTGTAAAGTGAACAGGTTAAGTCGGTACAAGCCTATATATAGCATCTGGGATTTCTTGAGTGTCACAATTTCCTCCATTCTCAAAACATGAAGAACTTGGGTTTGCTCGTGTTGCTGGTGCAATCATCGGGATGACTCGTAGCAGATGTAGAATAGCTGTAGCACACCGAAGCAATGATTATGGCTCTTATTTACATTCAGACCACTCTCAGCCACTCTGGCAGTGGAAGGGGGCCCCAAAGCAGATGTTCAATGCATATTCAAGGCATGTTACATGGGCAAAGTTATATAAAGGAGCACAGCATAAGAGCAGCTATAAGGCCTGTCTTACATATTGATGCATGTAAGATGCTCAGATGCTGATTAGAGTGTTATCCCAAGGTTACACTGTGCAATTAACCACCATCTGTGAGCAAAGGTTGGGTATGATGGGACTCAGAGACCACTGGCTACCAGGGGAGCTTCTGCTTGGGTCCCCATTTCTGAGGGGACGCAATGTTTTTGAGGGTGTCGCCAGTGGGACGAATTACATTTCTTTGCTTCTCAGAGGAATAGCAGCTCATGGTCCCTTTTGCCTGGAGTTTTGGCCAGAGCTGCGCTCTGCCCCAAACTTGGTGCTGTGTTTGCCCCAGTTGAAGCTTTTGATCTATGCAGAATGGATCAGACTGATGCACTCACTGACCTAGCAGTGCTGGTCACCTTTTCTGAAACTGGACAGGGCTGGTTAACAACCCACCTCCCCCTTACAGCCCAAATATCCCAGTAGCCTTGGTTTGCTTAGCAGAAGGAAGGAATAGAGTAATGAGGCCTGTATCTGTATATCAGGTACCTTGCTAATAAATTCTCACTAACAAATTCAGGATGTTAGGAGACCTCAGATTGCTGTGGCAGGGTAATGTGAATACACAGGCATCCTGGGTGAACTGTGAAACTTACGAGTGCATGGCTCTTTCCTCGTTCACTTTCTGTTACCAGGTTTTCAAAACCCTGGGTGCCTTTTGAAAGGAGAGTAGTGAAGCCTGATGATTCAGTTTAATGATGCTCCTGCAGTGGCACTTGGTATTTAAATGAAACGTGCCCAAGGAATATTGGTCTGCAGGGTACTTTGCAATCAGAAGCCAAGTTCAGATCTAGAGAAAAATATCTTTGTGGTGGAGCAGCTCAGAAGGTTTTGATGAGAAATGAAAATTACTTTCCTATCGAGTACTCAATTCTCTGTGCCTCTGTTTTTCATGTCACTTCCTAGAGTAATTCAGTTTTAGTGAAATCCAGGTGATTTCTTTTCTAAGTGTTCAGCTCACCCTGATTCCTGCAGGTGGCAAAGCTAGACTGAATACAAGAGAAAGGTCGATTTTGTTTGACACAGTTCAACTAAGTTGTGGAGTTTGTCTCCCTGTTCATCTTAATGAATTCTGACCTTTTCCCCTTCTAGGATTTCCTCTGATGCATTTTTCCGTGCCTCGAGTCTCTCTGAAACCAACAAGACTGGGGTTATGAAGTCAGTCCTAGATGGCCTCGCAGATACAACTTTCCGAACAATCACAACAGATCTCCTTTACGTGGGCTCCAACGATATCCAGTACGAAGACATGAAAGGCGACATGGCATCCAAGCTGGGATACTACCCCCAGAAGTTCCCTCTCTCTTCCTTCAGGGGTGATCCTTTCCAAGAAAAAATGACTGCGGGAGATGATCCCCTGTTGAGCATTATTCCCTCAGATCAGGTCAACATCACAGAGTTTTACAACAAGTCCCTGTCCACGTTTAAGGATAATGAGGAGAACATACAGTGTGGGGAGAACTTTATGGATATGGAGTGCTTTATGATCCTGAACCCCAGCCAGCAGCTGGCCATCGCTGTGCTGTCACTCACCCTGGGCACCTTCACGGTCCTAGAGAACCTCCTTGTCCTATGCGTCATCCTCCACTCTCGAAGCCTCCGGTGTAGACCCTCCTACCATTTCATCGGCAGCCTGGCTGTGGCCGATCTCCTGGGCAGCGTGATTTTTGTCTACAGTTTTGTGGATTTCCATGTTTTCCACCGGAAGGACAGCCCCAACGTCTTCTTGTTCAAACTGGGTGGAGTTACAGCCTCCTTCACCGCGTCCGTAGGTAGTCTTTTCCTCACGGCCATAGACCGGTACATATCTATACACAGGCCACTAGCTTACAAAAGGATTGTTACCCGACCAAAGGCTGTTGTAGCGTTTTGTGTGATGTGGACCATCGCTATTGTAATAGCCGTTCTTCCTCTGCTTGGCTGGAACTGCAAAAAGCTCAATTCTGTTTGTTCAGACATATTCCCTCTCATCGACGAGACGTACCTGATGTTCTGGATCGGGGTCACCAGCGTCCTCTTGCTGTTCATTGTCTATGCCTACATGTACATACTGTGGAAGGCGCACAGCCACGCTGTTCGCATGATTCAGCGGGGCACGCAGAAAAGCATCATCATCCAGTCTACGGAGGATGGTAAGGTACAGATCACTAGGCCTGATCAAACTCGTATGGACATCAGGTTAGCCAAAACCTTGGTCCTTATCCTAGTCGTTTTAATCATATGCTGGGGCCCTCTGCTCGCCATCATGGTGTACGATGTCTTTGGCAAAATGAACAAGCTCATCAAAACTGTCTTTGCCTTCTGTAGCATGCTCTGTTTGCTGAATTCCACAGTGAATCCCATCATCTACGCTCTGAGGAGCAAGGACTTGCGACACGCCTTCCGCAGCATGTTCCCCACCTGCGAAGGAACCGCGCAGCCCCTCGACAACAGCATGGAGTCTGACTGCCAGCACAAACACGCCAACAACGCAGGGAACGTGCATAGGGCTGCCGAGAGCTGCATTAAGAGCACAGTTAAGATTGCCAAAGTTACCATGTCTGTCTCCACAGACACGACTGCTGAAGCATTGTAAGTCAGAGACTTCTCAGCCTTGTGAGAAAAGGAGTTAGTTTAAAAAATAAAGATTTAAAAAATCAACAACAGAGAAAACCAAACCTGTGGCTTAAAGTGTTTGTACCCTCCTGTAGTATTTCTTTGGTTTGTCATTGTAAGCTGAGCGATGATTGTGTTAAGAACATTACCATCAGCCAGTTCTTCAGGTTTTGCAATTAGGGATTCAAGCTAGATTTTCAAAAGTGTTTTTCTCAGCAAGTGTTTACTGAATGATAGGATGTTTCCTGAAAGAACACAGACAAAATACCAGGTTAGCAGTGGTTCCTTTGGGGGTGTGAAATAAAATGGTGAAGCCTAATTGAAAACTAATGCGTCCTAAACCAATGCCATCAAGTAAGAGAAAAAGCTGTGTAATCATGCTGTTCATTTCAATGTGAAGTGTATTTCATGTCTATAAGTAATAGGAGGTTTTGATTTTTTCCAAAAGCGGCAGTGTTGAGTTTTAGAGGTTTTGTAAAACGTGTTGTGTCCTGTGAATTGTGTGCTGTTTTATTCTGTGTTATTGATATTTGTCTGATAAACAAAGTGATAAGGTAGACTTCCGTGGAAATAATGTGAAACGTGATATGTAAACCCCATTGAAAACACTTACTGTATTTGAAGAATTCCTATGAGCTATTTTGGAAATTTTACACTTTAGTGGTCTTCTGTGGACTTAGAGGAGAGGGTTTGTGTTCTTCTACTAAATCGTTTCCCCACTACCTTTTACTTTCACACGCATATGAGAGTAACAGCAACAAAGGAATAGAGGAATGTAAGAAAGGAATGCACTGGTTCAGACTTTTAAATACCACTGCATTTATACAGAAGGACGTTTATGGTTGTACAGACTATTGCCCTGCTCTTGGGCATTGCATGAATATGAACACTGAGAGGTGGAGGTCCTGGATATTGGCTCCCTTAACATGCAACTGGTTTTTAGCCACGTGCTGGTGCTGGACCACTGAAGACAGCATGTGTCAGACTCAGTGTGTGATGTTATCACTGTGCAGTCGATGTATACTTGAATTGTGTCGCATTCCTGTATCCCAGGTTTAAGCAGATGCAGAGCCTGAGATGCCAAACTCCCATCTTCACTAAAAGAGGAGGAAATACTGTCAGACATTTTCTTATTGTGTGAGCGTGTATATAAATAAATATCTGTGTGTGTTCGTGTGTGTGCGTGCGTGTGTAAGTACACTAATCAGTGTAAGTCATGGTAGCACAACTAAGATAGGACACTGACCAAATGTAAACTGTATTTCTTGTTGCACGCTTTGCACATGAATTCTGTTTCTAAAATTGAGTTCTTCCAACTGATTACTGATGAAAGTACCATATTAAGAACATCCTGATCCACTCTGAGAGGTGTATCCATGTGCTAGAGGAAGCAGTCTTTCAGTTGTATTTGGGAATAAGGGGAAACAAGAGGCAGAGCATGGCATGAGCCCGCACTAACAACTGCAGTGGCTGTAGGTGGTGTTTCTGAAAACTGAAAAAGCCAGAAATAAATATTAATCTTTTTTAAGGCTATCAGATTGCTCAAAATGAGGTGAGTCTCACTGTGAAACTAGGATACAGATGACAAGGTTTGACACTATAGCTTTGAGGAAGAAGTTATTGAAGGAAAATGATGACTCTTAAGTAGCATGATTGTTTTCTGCATCCTGGGACTTTCATGAAGAGCACATTACCGGATAGTCTCCGAATAGTCTTTGAGGCATGAATATTCTGTGGTTCTGTCATGAATCAGAAGGCCTGGGGTCCTCCTCTCTGCTGCCTTTTTTTGGCCATTTCCTTGCCCTTCTTCTGGCTGATTTCTGCAAAATAGCTGCAAAGGAGGCTTAGCCTGTTGGCTGCCTGTTGCTTGCTGCAAGAGGGTGGCTCCCACTATGGCACCGGGTAAGAAGAGCCAAATCCATGCTGCCATGCCATCTGTCCTCAGGGTTACATAGGGAGAGAGAGGGGGATGGCACCCCTGGGTCTCTGGCCTCAGTGGTGTCCCCACGGCATTTCTGATACTTCAGGGCAGAGCAGCAGGTAGCACAGGCAGCCCAGCTAATGTCAGCCAGTGGCTCTGTGGAGATGTTAAAGTGCCTCCAAGTTCAGGCTTAGTGAAGGCTGGCACACTTCAAAGATCTCATCAGGCAAGGTGGAAGACACAGAGGTACTTTCCTTCTCTACCCACCTCCCCTGCAGCTTACCCCAGTGGTAGGACAAGGCACCGTGCTCTTGGCAGGCCATGGCAGTCAGCCAAAACTGGCAGATTGCAAAGGATTCCTAGAGGATGTGCAAGTCCTCCTGAAAGATCTTTCTTATATCTAGGCCTAGTCCATCTAATGCAGTCCTCTTGGAGGAGGGTGGGGGGAGCCTATTTGAAATGTAAAGGTATTTTAAGAGCCATTTTTGAAACTGTCTTCTCGTGAATTAAATGCAAACTTAGTGGATTTTCGTTGTGCATTCAAGTTCTAAATTTTACATGATCAATCATGGGACAATGGGGCTGTCTTGGCACTTGGTGCTTACTGATATAATAAGAAATAGCATCTTGTGAAATGTTACCATCTATCATCAGTATCTTCGTTTGCATAATGAGTTTTTTTAAAGCTCTGGAACTGCATCGGTTCACTTGAAACCATTTATTAAAGAGGTGGCAACAATTTCCCTACATGTTGCATACTAAGTAGAACAACTCTTAAATTAGAAATATTTGCTGCCATTCCAAGATAAGCTGTACTTGAATTTCAGCTTTAGGTATTCCTAATTTGCAGTTGCCTACCTTCACTTAGTGATAGCGCAGCCAAATGATTCTGTGTTCCACAACCACCCACACCGTCATCATCAATCAACCAGCAATAGTTGCAGTTACCTATCTGTACCATCCCCAAGTGTTGCATATGTACTGAGAAGACCATCTATGTCACATGTGTGCAGAGTTAGATTCTTAACAGTGTAATTGTATATTTGTATAATATTATCTCCTCGATGCTGTGCAATCACTATCCACATCTTCTTGCACTGGCCTTCCGATGAAAATGTTAGTGTGTCTATTGTGAGATAGACAGCACATTTTACCTGCTGTTATTGGGCTGAATGTATGTAAATAAGCAAAAAATAAAAAAAGTCATCTGTACAAGCAGTGGCCTAAAAAGTCTGTAATGGTAGACTAGGACGGTTGTTGAAGTTGCTGTGACATCTCAAATACTACCTTTGGATAAACTGTTTACAGGGTTTCTTAGGATGCTGTTCATAGTGAAAGGAAACTTTTTCCTTGTGATAATATAAAGTAAAGAAATTGGATTACCTGAGCTTTTTATTTCCAGTGTTTCAAAGTGGAGAACATAACTCTTTATTGTCTGTAAATCTAACATTATTACTTCCTCTTAGAAGAATATTGTATCATTAGATGTTTGTTTGAGCTGGTAACATCCTTGCGACTGCTGCAATATTTTTCATTAGCAACCTGTATAATAGTTTGTACACAAGTACTGTTCAGATTGTCATGAAAAGTAGCTTTGACCATTTACCTACCAGTAGCAGAATAGTATTTCTGTAAGATTTCCAGTGTATTCCTACCATATCATATTTTATTTCTAGAATGTAATTAAACTGTTATTTATTCAAGGAGAAAAAGTATTCCTCTACTTTTTTTGTTTTCCAAATTTTGAGATAACTGAGGAAGCCACGTGATGCTGCTGCTTCATCCCACAATCTGGTGCTCTACGTTTTGTTTATAAGTTTGTCTGTCAGATTCTGAAACAACTGCTTAAACAACTTGACAACAGGTTGTCAAGCTTTGTGGGTTTTAATTGTACGTTGATATGCTTGAAGGAGGAGGTAGATTATATATTTTATATTTGTGTATTCAGTACTATGGAGACAAGAGAGAAATTACATAGTTAAAACCGAATCTCCTGTTTCATTATGTAGGCAATTTCCCCTTTCCTCTGTATTAGCCAAAATGCAATAAATCTCTTTTGCCTTCCTCAGATGCATATGTTTGCACAGAGATGTCACATTAAGACAAACCCATATACTTCAGAAAAACAAAACACAAAAGAGCAGGAGAAAGGAATACAAACTAAAAGAGTGCTGCCAACAGCAACAATGACCTAAATTAGTTATTGGTGGTTGTAAATATAATCAAAGACTTAGAGTTAGTCTAGTTTTGGCCAGTGGCAATGCGGCAGAGTTATGGGTGGGTGAGGGGAATGATGGAGTGGTCCAACAGACATGCAAACAAGCTGTGCAGGGAGAGCAAGCTCAGCCATGCCACTGCCTACAGGGCACACTAGAGTGTTCCCACCACTGCTCATTCAAAACTGAAAGGAAGGGTTGAAAACAGACTTAAGAGTCTCTCTGGGGTCTCACATGACCAATCCAAAACCCATTAAATGCTGTAGAAAGGTCCCTGCTCATTTGAAAGGCTTGGTTTTCTGTATGACTTAATCTCAGATTCATGTTTCTTGGGCAATTTTCCTTCTCCCCATTTGTGATTTGAGAACAGTGGAGGTCCTTAGAGGATATACTGAGCATGTCCTGGGGCCTTGGACCATGGTAGTGCCACAATATTTGCATTATTAAAAATTAGGTCACTGATGAACTGAGAAGTCTTGGCAAAGCAAAAGCAACTGGAAATGAAAAATTAGCTTTTAATCTTTAACTGCGTATTACATTTAAAAGAAGAAGTCTGAATATTTCTGCTGAAAGGTGTCATTCCCAAAGCAGCCAGGAGACAATTCCCACTGTATTTGCATGCTCACTAGAAAATAACAGCTATACTGCCACAAACAGACACTTCCTCTTGACACTAACAGCTGACTGCCTTTGTACATCTATTTGAAACAACACAAGAGGAAATAATAACAACTTTCCAAACTTTCCAAGTAACTGCTTTCCCACACTATAGCAGTTCAGGAAGCATGTGGGCAAATGTACAGTCATCGTTTCAACCTTTTACATTAGCAACCAGTATTTCTGCTCTTCTGACAGTCACAATATCATCATGCACACACATCATAAAACATCTGTCTTCAGTGAACGTCCAGCTTTGGCTTGATTTAAAAGTTAAATCATAATATTTGGGAACAGATAATGAAAGAAGGGAAAAAGTCATTTTGCCTGTGTATAAGAAAGCACAGGGTAGGGGTTTTTATCTGACAGTTTAGAATACATCTTCCTCTATTCTGCCTTTCTCCATTGGTGTTTGTAGGTAATGGATATAGAGTTTTCTTTAAACAGCAGCATAACATATGAAGTCCATGACTGCCATTAACAGGGCTCCGTAATATGAACAGTCATCTAATGCTGATCTGTAAAATTCAGTTAGGAGGGAAACGGATCATAAACCTAAGGTAATCTTAATGACGAGGTAAGGCATATGCATACACTTCTATTGCTTTCCAATAAATCATCTTTGGTATTCAGAGCAGCACTTGGTTTAATGTTAGAGCATATTAAGGTATGGAATCCTGTGTCAGTAAAGTCCCTAAGAAGTTTTTATCAACTTCAGAAGAAATAATACCTTGCCCCAGATTTTCAAACTATCAGTCTGCATTTGGAAAGTGCAATTTTATGTTCCATTATATTTGCATTTTTACTGACATTAAAACAAAGATGAGACAGAATAAATAACAGCCTCTCTATTCATTGGTTTGGGTTTGGTTTTTTTGCCTGCAAAATAATCTATTTTGAGTTCTCATGGGTCAATGCAGAATCATAAAGTCTGGCAGGAGTTCAATGGACTTGTCATGGGAGTGAAGCAATTTATTTATCCATATGTGTGCAGATGGGGTAGAGAACATCATGAACAAAACTGCTCTCAGTAATGCTGACAGAGTCATTTCCTGGCCACTTGCACTGATGCTGTTTTGACACTGTTCTGCTTCTTCTCTCGGTATACATGCACATATGTGTGTGCATGGTGAAAATGGACAACACACATATATAAAAATCTTTCCCCCCCAAAAAAAAAAAAAATCTCTACATGTGATAATAGTAATAATAGTAATAGTAATAATAGTAATGCTAGTAATAATAATGTGAAACAACCTCACAGCCACTAATTTCATGAAGGGGAAACCTCTTCTACCATTTGTAGCCATACCTGGATGGATCAAGCCCTACCATTGCTATCTGAATGATTTCTTCTTTTTCCCAGTGGATCTCACT